CTTCAGTCCTGCCGGCACAGGGGTTTATGCGCCACCGGGGGCTCCATTTGGGAGTTGTAGTTGCTGGGATTTATAGTTAACCTGCAATCAAAGAGCATTCTGAACTCCACCAATGATGGAATTGAACCACACGTGTCACACAGAACTCCCATGACCAACAGAAAATACTGGAAGGGTTTGGTGGGCACTGTCCTTGAGTTTTGGAGTTGTAGTTCACCTACATCCAGAGAGCACTGTGGACTCAAACAATGATGGATCTGGACCAAACTTGGCACAAATACTCAATATGCCCAAATGTGAACACTGGTGGAGTTTGGGGGAAATAGACCTTGACATTTGGGAGTTGTAGTTGCTGGGATTTATAGTTCACCTACAATCAAAGAGCATTCTGAACTCCACCAATGATGGAATTGAACCAAACTTGGCACACAGAACTCCTATGACCAACAGAAATTACCAGAAGGGTTTGGCGGGCATTGACCTTGAGTTTGGGAGTTGTAGTTCACCTACATCCAGAGAGCACTGTGGACTCAAACAATGATGGATCTGGCAAACTTGGCATGAATACTCAATATGCCAAAATGTGAACACGTGATTGGGGAAAATAGACCTGACATTTGGGAGTTGTAGTTGCTGGGATTTATAGTTCACCTACAAACAAAGAGCATTCTCAACCCTACCAATGACAGAATTGGGCCAAACTTCCCACACAGAACTCAAATGATCAACAGAAAATACTGTGTTTTCTGATGGTCTTTGGTGACCCCTCTGGCACCCCCTCACGACCCCCCCCCCGGGGTCCCAACCCCCAGGTTGAGAAATACTGTCCTATAGGGAACAAAAGCTATGGCTTGTAGACTTCATCTTATGAATAGGACCTTAGGTTTGCAGACTGGGAAGACTCTGAATGCTTGAAATGTTTTGCAATCCAACAAATTAAGATTTCAATTCATATGCTGCTTTACACCCTCCTGCTCTGAGCACTCCCCATTGCTGGAATGTAGCCCAAAATGGGAGTTATCTGGCCCACTTCTACTTCACACCCTTTTTGTCCCTTGCTATAAAAAGAGGAACTATGCATCTGATAAAGTGGGATCTAGATCATGAACAGCTTATGTTCCTTCTAAGGTATTAGCCTTTAATGTGTCACATGATTTTGTTTTGGTTACAACAAGCCCAGACAGTATTCAGGGCTAGCAGGAAGACTAAAAAGGATATGCGCTAGTGAGTCAACTTCTGTTGGCAATTTTTTCTCATCTTTTAAAAAAATTCTATCATTGCTAGAAAAGACCATTGCAAACATTTTGTGATTAATTGGCCTCTGAATCAGAGCATCAATAAGTCCCATACTGGCACCAGCAGTATCGAAAAGCATTGTTCCAAACTGCCAATGGTAACCCTACATTCTACAAAGAGAGGTACCTCTTTTAATTAGATGCTTCTTCCCCAGCAGCTACTATTGCTCAACAAATTGACATTTGGTATTTGGTATCAAGTAGGTACCTTTCTAGCAACCACACCCCACATTACATTCTTATGATATGGGACTGCTCTCAGAAGTCACACGAATGTCAACATGTCTTTAGAAAGGTAAAATGCAAAGGGCAAATTTGCATACCAAAAATGTATTTCTTGGGATGCACATTTGTGCAATCAACTCTCCATATCCACAGATTCAACTAGCAGTCAGTAGTCCTGCCAGCACAAGGGTTGAACCCATTGCACCACTGTGCAATGGGTTCAACCCTTGTGCTGGCAGGACTACTGACTGAAAGGTTGGCAGTTCAAATCTGGGGAGCAGGGTGAGCTCCCGTCTGTCAGATCCAGCTTCCCATGTGGGGACATGAGAGAAGCCTCCCACAGGACGGTAAAACATCTGGGTGTCCCCTGGACAACATCCCTGCAGACACCCAATTGTCTCACACCAGAAGCAACTTCCAGTTTCTCCAGTTGCTCCTGAAATGGAAAAAACTATCCTGGGCATGAAAATATTCCCCATAAGTCCAGAAAATATTCCGCATAAGTCCAGAAAAGCCATTTTGTCATTTTATATAAGGGGCACCATTTTACGATGCTATTGTATATAATGGGCCTTGAGCATCCACAGATTCTGGTGTCCCATGGAACCAAACCCCAATGGATACCAAGGGCCCAAGGTATTTACAAGTCACTTTTCCACTTGCTACAACCATCAAAACAATTAAAATACAATAAAAACAAAGCTATAGTTTACTTGTACTGTAGTAGATGGATGTATTGTCCTTTGCACTTTACCTTTTTTTGAGACCTTTGATGGTGACTTCAATGAGCACCCCAACATCCCCCCAAATAAATTCAGGAAGCAGCCAAAGAATCAAATTGTTAGATGGCAAACACTCCTCTTTTCATGCCTGCGAACATCCTAGTCATACTATGTTTACAATACTGGATGTATGCGTAAAATCATAAGGAAACAGATTGATGTCTTACTGGCCACCAAGTTCAGAACAGCAATACCTGTTTCCCCAAAAATAAGACAGTGTTTCTATTAATTTTTGCTCCCAAAGATGCACTAGGTTTAATTTTCAGGGGATGTCTTATTTTTCCATGAAGAAGAATTCATATTTATTGTTTTTTTAAAAAAGAATAGTTATTATATACTGTAGAGTAGTTGTCAGTATATAATAAATATACTGGCTTGCTCACAGAAGGCCACAAAAGGTCTGGAAAGTACCTGGCTCCCACACACTGTCTGGAGATTGTAACGCTCTCCCACAGTAGTTCCTGGATCACTTGTACAGAAGGGACGGTATTGCAGCTTCTGGCCACCAGGGGGAGCATGCTTCCAAACAAAAACTTTGCTAGGTCTTACTTTCAGGGGAGGCCTTATATTTAGCAATTCTACTAGGTCTTATTTTCAGGGAAACAGGGTAGAGACACTGGAAGAAAAACAATTCAGCAGTCATATTGTGAACTATGAGAGAGCTGTTCAGAGAACAAGGCCATAAAATTGTCGAAGGCTTTCATGGCTGGAATCACTGGGTTGTTGTAGATTTTCCGGGCTATAGGGCCATGTTCTAGAGGCATTCTCTCCTGACGTTTCGCCTGCATCTATGGCAAGCATCCTCAGAGGTAGTGAGGTCTGTTGGAAGTAGGAAAATGGGTTTATATATCTGTGGAATGACCAGGGTGGGACAAAGGACTCTTGTCTGCTGGAGCTAGGTGTGAATGTTTCAACTGACCACCTTGATTAGCATTTAATGGCTTGGAAGTGCCTGGGGGAAATCTTTTGTTGAGAGTGATTTGATGTGCCTGATTTTTTACTCTCTGTTGTTTTGCTGTTGTAATTTTTGAGTTTTTTAATACTGGTAGCCAGATTTTGTTCATTTTCATGGTTTCTTACTTTCTGTTGAAATTGTACACATGCTTGTGGATTTCAGTGGCTTCTCTGTGTAGTCTGACATGGTGGTTGTGAGAGTGGTCCAGCATTTCTGTGTTCACTCACTACCTCTGAGGATGCTTGCCATAGATGTAGATGAAACGTCAGGAGAAAATGCCTCTAGAACATGGCCATATAGCCCAGAAAAACCTACAACAACCCAAGGCCATAAAAGTTTCGATCTTCTCCTACTCCAAAGCCAATATCTCAGGAATAGTCCAAATTATTTCAAAAATGTTTTGACAATTAAATACAGAAAATGTTGCCCTTGGATTTTCTATTCTCAAAAACATTGAGTATAACGTGAACAATTCTTGTGTCTATGGTATTTCCATTGCTAGCAATGGTAGGCAGCTCAATGTACTCTCCAAACTCTCTCTCCTCTTCCACAATCAGCAGGGGCAAATGGAAATGCCTCAGTGCAAATACACTCATATTGCATCCATGCCAGAAACCTGAATTCCCCCCCCCCCCCCCGTACACTGTAGAAACACATCCAAAGCAATTATTATTTGGCTAGYGTGAATATGGAATTGGCACTAGATAGTTTCGCAACCAAACCASAGGAACTAGAAACGGTAACATCCACTCTTCCAGACAGTTGCATTTGGCACTAAGAAATTCATGTGACGGGTAATTGGGATGTCAAGTATAGTGAAGCGATTCAGTCGTGGGAGACTTGTGCATTGCCTTCTTTGCTTGTTTGTTTCACCAGAAAGGAAAGGAGCCCGTGGTGGTGCAATGGGTTAAACCTTTGTGCCGTCAGGACTAAAGACAAGCACATCAGCAGTTCGAATCTGGAGAGAGATCAGATGAGCCTCCCTCAGTCAGTTCCAGCTTCTCATGTGGGGACATGAGAGAAGCCTCCCAAAAGGGTGGTAAAACATCAAAACATCCAGACGTCCCCTGGGCAACATCCTTGCAGACAGCCAATTCTCTCACACCAGAAGCGACTTGAAGTTTCTCAAGTAAATCCTGACACAAAATTTAAAGAAACAGCAAGGAAAGCAAATCTGGAGGTTTTCCGAATTTGGCCATAAGGAAGGACCCTGTTGCACAAATACTGGCCCCAATACTGATCCCTTAACTGCACTTAACATAATACCACATCTGCCCCACTCATCATGGCTTGAGTTTTACAAGAAAAAGAGACTTAAAGTAAGAACTTGACTGCATTATAGTGTTTGACGGCAGTTTTTGTTTCATAACAGAAATCCATGGCTATTATAAAGTCAGTTCAGGCAGTTCTCTGAATCACAGAATAATGGAGATATCACACTTTTTGGTTTCTGCCTTCCAACTGCCCTTTTGCTTCTTTGAGCAATCTTGTCAGTTTGCAAAGAAAAGAGGTACCCTATGTATAAAAAAATAAAATCGAGGTCGTATCCCCATTCCCTCGACCCCATCCTTCTGGTTTCCTAGAAAAACACATATATTTTAATTTCAGGCTGGATTTGAAAAGTGGCAAGGGGAGGGAGCCCAGTTTCCAGTCTGACAATGAAAAGAAGCAAATACAGACATGCCACAGAAGACAGCACACTGGGACAGAAGCCCACAGAGCTCAACCTGGTCAACCGCTTACTTTTTCTTGTCCTTGTCTTTCTTGGTTTGTTGGGAGCCAGCCTGTTGGCCCTGTGACTGTAATAGCTGAGCTGCTGCTTTCTTCTTCTGGAAGTTGCCCAGTTCCTCCTCAAGGTCCTTTTTCTTGTCCTCTACTTTCTTCTTCTCTTCTTGGTGAGTCCTCTTTAGGTGTTCAAACTTCTCATGAAGCTGCCCAGACAGAAGGTTGCGTCAGGTTTAGCAAGGAAAAGAAAAATCACCAGAAGGAGAAAATCCTACAGCAGAATTAGGGTAAGTGCTCAAAGGGATGAAGGAGAACTTGAATTAGGAACTTAGAAAAGAGATCTAGAACAATATATTGTCGAAGGCTTTCATGGCGGGAATCATTGGGTTGTTGTAGGTTTTTTCGGGCTATATGGCCATGTTCTAGAGCAGTGTTTCTCAACCTTCCTATTCCGCGACCCCTTAATACAGTTCCTCATGTTGTGGTGACCCCCAAACATACTTTAAACTGTAATTTTGCTACTGTTATCAATTGAATTGTAAGATAATAATATCTGATGTATTCACTGGACCAAATTTGGCACAAATATCGAATACACACAAATCTGAATACTGATGGAGTTGGAGGGGGTTGATTTTGTCATTTGGGAGTTGTAGTTGCTGGGATTTATACAATCAAGGAGCATTCTGAAATCTATCAATGATGGAATTGAACCAAACTTAGCACTTAGAACTTCAATGACCAACAGGAAAAAAAACTGGAAGGGTTTGGTGGGCATTGATCTTGAGTTTGGGAGTTGTAATTCACCTACATCCGGAGAGCACTGTGGACTCAAACAATGATGGATCTGGACCAAACTTGGCATGAATACTCAATATACCCAAAAGTTAACACTGGTGGAGTTTGGAGGAAACAGACCTTGATATTTGGGAGTTGTAGTTGCTGGGATTTATAGTTCACCTACAATCAAAGAGCACTCTGAACCCTACCAACGATAGAATTGGGCCAAACTTCCCACACAGAAACCCCATGACCAACAAAAAAATACTGTTTTTTCTGATGGTCTTTGGTGACCCCTCTGACACCCCCTTGCGACCCCTCCAGGGGTCCTGACCCCCAGGTTGAGAAACACTGTTCTAGAGGCATTCTCTCCTAGGAGAGAATGCCTCTAGAGCATGGCCATATAGCCCAAAAAAACCTACAACAACCCAGATCTAGAACAGTCACCAACTAGGATCTCTTTCTGTGTATGCCGTCTTCTAGAGCTGTTGTTCCCAACCTTTGGGCCTCCAGGTGTTTTGGACTCCAACTCCCAGAAATCCCAGCCAGTTTAGGAACTGTGGGAGGTGAAGTCCAAAACACCTGGAGGCCCAAAGATCTGGAACCACTGTTCTAGAGCAAAAAAGGAACAATGGTGTGTAATATCAACACCCTTTGACTGGCAAACTGTTTCAAGAGTACAGATTAACTTTGAGTAAACACTAACGGCCCACAGAATAGAACAGATAATAGAATAGGATAGCTTGATTTGTCATTGTGTTATTTCACAATGAAATTAAATGCCTTCCCCAGCACACACCCTTCTCTCCACACCCCAACCACCACCACACAGCCTCCAATGCCACATCAATGTGAAACCATGGAGTTCAACATAGCCATAGCTCTAGGATAAAAGCTATCTCTCAGTCTGTTTATCCTTGTCTTTGTCACCATGTACCGTCTGCCAGATGGCAATCTATATAAATAAAAATGTAATGTTCGTTTGTGGGATTCACAGAACTCAAAAACCTAACAATCCAATCACTCAAAAAAAAATGATTTTGTCATTTGGGAGTTGTAGTTGCTGCGATTTATAGTTCACCTACAATCAAGGAGCATTCTGAACCCCACCAACGATGGAATTGAACCAAACTTGGCACACAGTTCTCCCATGACCAACAGAAAATACTGGAAGGGTTTGGTGGGCAGTGTCCTTTGCTTTTGTACTTATAGTTCACCTACATCTAGAGATCACTGGACCCAAAACAATGATGGATCTTGGCCAAACTCTACACGAAAACTCAATATGCCCAAATGTGAACACTGGTGGAGTTTGAGGGAAGTAGAATCTTGACATTTGGGAGTTGTAGTAGCTGGGATTTATAGTTCACCTACAATCACAGAGCATTCTATAGAACTGGGCCAAACCTCCCACACAGAACCCCCATGTGGGCCACAGCAATGCGTGGCACGGGACGGCTAGTAATTAAAAAATAATAATATGCTGGGTGAGATGGATTCCCAAGAGCTATCTTAAGACTGAAGGACCTATAAAGTTCTTCCAAAGAGGGGAGAAAGAGGACAATAAATGATTCTACAGAATTATAATGTTATTATTCCATTTTGCCATGCTTCTGTCCTATGGAAACCAGAGAGTGGCAGTTTTGGAAGGGCATTCAGAATTCAGAGGACTTTAGTGTCTCACCAAACTACCAAACTCATAGGATGGAATCGTGGCAATTTAAATGTGGAATAACCCAACAATAATTCTGTAGTGTGAATGGGCCCTAGTAATCAGGCCTTCTCTAAGCAATATCTTCTACCCTATGAACTTTGAACTGCAGCTGTGTCTTGCTCCATATCCAATTTTAGACTCACTTTTGGTTGTGTATGACTGCAACTTTAGAGCATTCACTGGGTTCCCAAGATGTCCCAAAGAATGTAGGCAACCAAAATGAAAACAATCTGGTCGATGTCCCAAAATTATTTGGGGGTGAGGGGATTTTCTATGGACACACTGACAATCACAAGCCAAACCCATCAGTTGCAGTGTCTTTTTGTTTCTAAGGAGCCACTTACGTCTTTTTCTGCCTCTTTGAGCTCGGCTTCTTTCTCCTTCACCCGCATGACAAACATTTGCCTCATTTCTTCTTCTTTTTTCTGGAGTTCACCCAGGAATTCATTCCTCTTAGCTTCATAGGTCTCTTGAAGACTTGTTATCAAAGAAGGTCCCCCGAAAGGTGGCGATGATGGATAGGGGAAAAAGAAAGCCAAACCTCAAGTTAATATGAGAAGTGAATAATGCTTCTACTTATAAGAATATGACCACAAATAAATTTAAACAAATAGCTTGGGGCGGACTTACATGAGGGGACTTGGGGCGGCTTACATGAGGCCAAGCCCAGCAATGCATTACAACGAAATACAACCAAAACACAAAATAAATATCACAATAAAATAAATAAAACATAAGAATACAATAAAACAATGCAAAATACAGTGATAGATAAATCACTAGCACAATGAGCGCGCCACATGTACAAGGCAAAATGATAAAACTCAAGATGAGATAAAAATGAAACGTAAATATTTGTGAAAGAGAAACTAATTGGAAAACAGAGTAATGGAGACATGGAGACAGACCTTCAAACAGGCAGAGGGAAGTAGAGTCGCTCCTGACACACACACACACACACACACACACACAAATCTGACATAACTGCAAAGTGCTTATTGGTACCTTCAGCCAAACTAAGGCAAACTGTGTTAAATAAAACAGTTTGGTCAAAAAGGTCAACATCAAACTGGTTTATAATCCTGGATTATTTTTCCTATTAAAGTATAGGTAATTTCCTTCAATACTTTAATAGGAAAAATAATGCAGGATTATAAATCCAGGATTTTCCTATTAAAGTATAGGTAATTTCCTCCAAGTGGCACAGTGGGTTAAAGCGCCGAGCTGCTGAGCTTGTTGACCGAAAGGTTGCAGGTTCGATTCCGAGGAGCATAGTGAGCTTCTGCTGTCAGCCCCAGCTTCTGCCAACCTAACAGTTCGAAAACATGCAAATGTGAGTAGATCAATAGGTACCGCTCCGGCAGGAAGGTAAGGGCGCTCCATGCAGTCATGCCGGCCACATGACCTTGGAGGTGTCTACGGACAACGCCGGCTCTTCGGTTTAGAAATGGAGATGAGCACCACACCCGAGTGTCAGATATGACTGGACTTAATGTCAGGGGACAACCTTTACCTTACCTAATTTCCTCCAAAAACACTCAAAATGAATCAACAATTTGTATTTATATGTGTATTTTAGTGGCAGCAAATACATTTTAATTCCATGCTCCCGGCCCTACTAGAAAAGAAAAAGCTATATTATGGCTTAATGTTACAGTTTGACTTTAAGTCTGCTGTTAATAAATGTCAGTGACCAACTCTGTGCACTTGAAATTCATCCTAGTGTTTGAAAGCTATTAATTAGTTTTTGTGATTCTCCAAATTACACAGATGAGACAGTTCACAGTAGCTGTTTGACATTTTGTTCTGTGTTACAACCTTTATTTTTTTCCTATGTGTATGCAATGCCAATTACCACTTCCAATTCAAAGGACTCTAAAGAAATGTTATCCCTGGCTAAGCGATTAAGGCAGATGGCTAAGCGACTAAGCCAAGTCACTGAAGCCAAAAACTTCAAACTTTGATCTGTTTACATAAGCAATTGGAAGAAAGAGTCCCTGTGTAACAAGGGGTTCTGTCCTCTCTGATTATGCCTTAGATTAAACAACCAGATGAACGAGAACACAAAATATCTTAAAGGATGGCATGCACGTTTCCTGCTCCAGAGACCAGAACACAAACCAACAGGTCTAAACTAGAAGAAAAGATATTCCATCCAACATTGGGAAGAACCTCTCGACCATAATAGCAGTTTGACATTGGAATAGGTTGTCTCAAAGGGTGATGGGACACCTCTCATGATTATTTTAGTAGTGTAATCCTGCATGACTGGTCCATTTAGTTTTCTTGGCAAGGATACTGGGGTGGTTTGCCATTGCCTTCCCCAGGGATCACGCTTGGTCTGACCTCTCTGCCACGACCGTCCTGTCTTGGGTGGCCCTTCACAGTTTCGCTCATGACATCATTGAGGTGCTCAAGCTCCAGCGCCCCGACAAGGCGGTGATCCTTTGCAAAGCTGGGGTGAAAATTGCTGGAAGAAACATTAACAACCTCAGATATGCAGATGACACCACTCTGATGGCCGAAAGCGAGGAGGAGCTGAGGAGCCTTCTAATCAAGGTGAAAGAAGAAAGCGCAAAAGCTGGGTTGCAGCTAAACATAAAAAAAAACCAAGATCATGGCAACAAGAATGATTGACAACTGGAAAATAGAGGGAGAAAATGTGGAGGCCGTGACAGACTTTGTATTTCTAGGTGCAAAGATTACTGCAGATGCAGACTGTGGCCAGGAAATCAGAAGACGCTTACTTCTTGGGAGGAGAGCAATGTCCAATCTCGAATAAAATAGTAAAGAGTAGAGACATCACACTGGTAACAAAGATCCGCATAGTCAAAGCCATGGTATTCCCTGTAGTAACCTACGGATGTGAGAGTTGGCCCTGAGACCCGTCGCAAACTCTGTTCCTGCGGGAGAAAACCTTGCTAGCATGTCCCTGATGTCATGAAACTCCGCCTCTCGCCCCGCCCCTTTCTCTGCCTCTTTCTCCTTGCGAGAGTGGTTTTTCCTTTGCTAGGGCAGCATTGCCAGCATACTCTCTCAGTTGGCAGAATTCAACTGAGAGAATACGCTGGCAATGCTGCCCTAGCAAAGGAAAAACCACTCTGGCACGGAGAAAGGGGCGGAGAAAGGGGCGGGAGAGAGAGGCGCAGTCTCATGACGTCAGGGACGTGCTGGCAAGGTTTGCTCCCACAGGAGCCTAGTTGTTGGACCTTAGGGAAGGCTGAGTGAAGGAAGATAGATGCTTTTGAACTGTGGTGTTGGAGGAAAGTTCTGAGAGTGCCTTGGACTGCGAGAAGATCCAACCCGTCCATCCTCCAGGAAATAAAGCCCGACTGCTCATTGGAGGGAAGGATACTAGAGACAAAGTTGAAGTACTTTGGCCACATCTTGAGGAGACAGCAAAGCCTAGAGAAGACAATTATGCTGGGGAAAGTGGAAGGCAAAAGGAAGAGGGGCCGACCAAGGGCAAGATGGATGGATGGCATCCTTGAAGTGACTGGACTGACCTTGAAGGAGCTGGGGGTGGTGACGGCCGACAGGGAGCTCTGGCGTGGGCTGGTCCATAAGGTCACGAAGAGTCGGAGACGACTGAACGAATGAACAACAACAATCCTGCATGACAGAGGGTTGGACTAGACAGCTCCTGTATTACTTTCCAACTCTATTTATTTTTATGATTTGCCACATTTTCAGCTACAAAAAGGTCAACAGCAGCAGCTAATTTTTTTATACATAATTATAGGCCAATGATTTAACTGTAGTGTTCCATCTTCCAGGAGCTTGGTTTGCATTGCCCCTTAGTTGTATAAAATAGCATCCTTTTGCATTTTCCCCCAGGGTTGCTACAGTCTCAGCAGCACCCTGAAAGTTAAACATTAACAGAGGCTGGAAGCCAACCTGCAAGCCTCTTGCTGTTATTGGTTTAAAAAAGTATCATTTTGGTCCAGAGACCACCCTTTTTCCTGGGGATGAGATCTCCGTTTTGGAAAAGCTCTCCTGCCTTCTTCAGTATAGAAAAAGCCTCAGATGTGCTGGTGGCCAAGCTAGGCAGCTCGGACAGGCCATTGTGAGTACGGTTACCCTCTTGCCTTTGAAACTGGTGCTGAGCTCAAGTAGAGAAAGACCTACTCTTTCTAAAGGATAGCAGCTCAGCGCTGGGGCAGGGAATATCTCAGGATTTCTCTGCCATTGGGAGAGGCTCCATTACTTCATCCCCAAACTAACCTTGAGCTCAGATAGGGGGAGACCTGCTCTTTCTAAAAGATAACAGCTCAGGGTTAGGGTAAAAGATTCCAGGATTTTTCTACCGTTGGGGAAAGTTAACTCTGCAGCTGAAGGAAAAGGGAAGGAAAGAACATCTATATGATTTCACAAGTTGACTGTTTCTGTTTGTAACTTCATCAAGCTGTGCCAAGTCTGCCAAGGACTTTGAGAAATAAATGTTCTTTTTGATGTTCAAATCTGGACTGGCCTCAGTTGCTGGGAATTCTGAGCTTCTGAGTAAAGCATTTGCAGTTCACCCGGATAAAGAGAGAAGCACATCTTAGTTTTAACTTTATAGTGTCTGGGTGTGATGGCACATATAGATCTGTCAAACATGCTTTGTTATTTACTTCCCCCATTCTGGCTAAGAGCCTACTGGCCGGCAAAAGTAGATGGAGACAAAGTGGCAGAGATACAGTGGCAGGGAATGCACAAAAAGAAGCAAAAGCTGCCTCCATCAATGGTAAGCCTGCCCTGCTGGCTATCAAGCTGCTTGGTAACCCACAGGACAATTCTGTCTCTTACTGGAGACAGCTTTTGTATCTGTTCCTCCACCCACATCCCTGTTGCTACACATGAAAAGGTGACTCACACCCAAATAGTGGACTGATACGCTAGTGTGAATCACCAATCTGATTGTAGTTCCTCTCTTGCATTTAGCCATGCATGTATTTATGTACAACGAGGGATTGTAACAGCCCAATAGATAAGGACCACAGTGACATAGGACACAGTGCCAGACTTGGCATGAAGCATCTTGATTCAAAACTCCTGCTCTGGCATGGAAGTCAATTTGCACAATTGTTGTGAGAAGGAAGTGTTGACATGACAAAAGAGATAATAATAATAATAATAATAATAATAATAATAATAATAATAGATTGCACAGACAGACTACAAGCAGAGTCATAACACCATTGCTCAGATGATTAATTGGAACTTGTGCCACAAATACCATCTGCCTGCGAAAAAGAACTGGTGGCATCACAAACCTGAAAAAGTTGCAAAAAATGAACACGTCAAGCTACTCTGGGTCTTCCGAATTCAGACTGACAGGGTTTTGGAGCACAATACTCCTGACCTCACGATTGTGTTAAAGAACAAAGTATGGATTGTCGATGTTGCAATCCTAGGTGACAGCAGGATTGAAGAGAAACAACTGGAAAAGCTGACACGATATGAGGATTTAAAGATTGAACTGCAAAGACTCTGGC